ATATATATATATACACACACACACATATATATATACACACACACACATCTATATCTATATCTATCTATATCTCTCTCTAGATCTCTATATCTCGATGTATCGATGTAGATATATCGATATATATCGATTTTTTTTTTTTTTTTGGGGGGGGGGGGGCATAGGTTAAAATATAGAGATTATAGGGAAAGAAAATATTTTAAAAAAGCAATAATAAAAGTAATTTGGAAAATGAATTGACAGATAACCTGTCCTACACTGACCACAAAGTGATTACAATCAACTGACACCATCTTGTTAACTACAGTTTTAGTTTGTGTTGTTTGTTTTTTCCTGTTCTGGCTAACTAGGAATCAAAAAGGAAGAGTTTGAAACAAGTTACAAGAAATCAATGGACAGCAGCAGATACTATGAGCACAATAAAAATAGATTTCACATTTACCATACATTTTACACAAAAATTACAATTAGTTGTGTAAAAGATCAAAAATAAATATTAACAGATTTTTAAAACTTAATTTGCCCATCGTAAAACTAAGTTACTGCATTGTCATAAAAACTTTTTTTCAATTAAAATAAACTTTGGAACATTATATCCTCAATGCAGTATATGAAAAGGAAAACCAACTATTTTGACTAAAATGTCATCAAGAAGGTCAGAATGGTACTCAAAAATATGTGAGCAACTGTAAAACATATCTTGGAAAAGTCTTAAATTTAGATGTGCGAGTCAAGTCATAATAGTCTGTTTTTTGTTCGTTTCGTTTGTTTGTTTTTTAAATCAAGTTTGGAAAAATTATCAACAATTAGTTTTGCAAATGCTGAATTTAAAAATGAAGAGTGTGGTCATTGTCAGAGTTCAAACTCTCAATATCTTCTGAAACAGTAGCTTTTATATCTGTCCCATATCCAGCAGATCTCCAGTCCATCACAGGGCCACAGAGACAAACAACCATTCACACTCTCACCTAGGGACAATTTAGAGCTACCAATCAGTCTAACATGCATGTTTTGGTCTGTGGGAGGAAACCAGACTATGCCAGGATCCTTATTAAAACTGAACTGGAACAAGCATCACCTCAAAGACAAACCTGAGCTAACATCACAGCACACTAATAACCAAAACAAAAATTGTTTCAGTTCCTATAAAGATGCCTCTCTCTCCAATTAATTGAATATTTTGTGTACAAATATAGTATTTATTTTATTATTAAAACATAATAAAAATGTACTTACTGTAGTAGCCATACAGCACAGTGGCTTCAATGTGCTGTCGTGTCTCATTGCTTGTTGCCCACTCCTGCAACACCCCCAAAAAAAGTCAGGTTTAAGCTTTAATAAACTAAACATTAAGCCAAAACAAAAATATACAGATGACATAATGCAATAACATAGAAATAGGTAACAAGCGCCAATAGAGGTATGTAAGCTGTGATAGCACTTTAATACACAAAAATAGCAACTACTTTGAGATGTTGAACCCTAAAAATGTGTATAACATTTAATACTTTACCTGATGGCATACTTATTTATTTAAATTGATTTTCCTGTAACTGTAAGCAGAACGGCCACAGTCCAAAATATGCATGTTTAGTCCGCTTCAGGTCCAGGCTTCCTTTATAAAAGAGATCCGTGCTCTAAATGGCATTTGCCTGGTTAAATAACGGTTAATAACATACTAACCTTATAGGTGCCATTGGGATATTTCATGTATGACACGAGGAATATGTCCACTGGTAGAAGCGCAGAGGTTATCAAAGCAATGGCTAGCGCACATATTGCTGTGACGGTTGAAACAACCTCACTATCCTGTCGACTCTGAAACTTCCGAATGTAGATCCAACAGAACGCCAGAATAACCTTAACAGAAAAAAGTAAAGAAATTAAAACAAATGGTCAGCAATACAACGATCCTTCAATTAAATCAGTATTCTGAAAGTGTTCTGCTAATATAATTGATACATTTATGTTAAGTATAAAAAAAACTTTATACGAGACACAATACAAAGAGGCAAAAATGTTTTAACTCTAAAACTTCAACTGCAAAAAATCGTAAAAAAGAGCTAGGTTTTTATGTAGGAATAACAAAAAAATGTCAAGAAATATGTTGACAGAATAGAGAAGAATATTAAAATTAGATTTAGAAGAGCATTTAAAAGCCCAGGACTTATTGAAGGAATGCATATTACAGTGCATGCAATAATTTTAGCATTTTGTGCTGACAATTTATAAAAAATGTGTTGTAGCCATTTTGAAAACACCAGTATGCATCATCTCATATAATCTGTGTTGCAATTTACTCTCAGCTACAGCAACAACAAATTGAGGGTGCATTCACACCAGCCCTGTTTAGTCTGCTTTAATGGAACTCTAGCTCGTTTGCCTAGGAAGTCCGGTTCGTTTGGAGAGGTGTGAACGCGCCATCGAACTCTGTCTCGGAACAAAAAGGCGAACTCTGGCCCGGGATAAAACCTAGGTATCGGTCCGGTAGAAGAAAACTCTAGCGCAGTTTGAGTACAGTGTGAATTAATCTCAATGTTTATTATGTTACAGAGTTACAGCCATTTTGTTGTTGGTTAATGTTGATTAGCTGTAGCAGCCATCTTGAATTAGGTTGACACCTAAAGTTATTCAGTCGTTAATGTATGATATATGATTTTCAGAAAAATTTAATGAACTCCATACAGTAGTTTCTGAGAAGTTTTGCTAACAGACAGAGTTGAGACTAGTAATTATTGCTTAAGTTTTAAGCCTCCTTGACCTTACCGCTGCATTTGATACTGTGGACCACAGTATCCTTTTATCCCGGCTAGAACACTGGGTTGGGATTACTGGTGCAGCGTTAGAATGGTTCCATTCATACCCGAGCGACAGGAGTTTGTGTTAATATTGCTAACACTATCTACTTCAGTGCCTCTTTCCTGCGGGGTCCTGCAAGGCTCCATTCTTGGACTCCTTCTGTTTTCTTTGTATCTCCTCCCCTTAGGGTCTATCATGAGGAAACACGGTCTTTCCTTTCATTGTTATGCTGATGACTCTCAGATTTATCTGCCGTTAACACCTAACAGTTCCTCCTCCATTCGCCCTTTGTTAAAATGTCTTGATGACATCAAGACTTGGATGGCTGCGAACTTTGAGTTTTAATGATCAGAAGACTGAGGTCATTGTGTTTAACCCTAGCTCTGCCACTGACCCTGCAAACCTGGACTCCCTTCAGCCATATCTAAAACAGTCCGTTACCAATCTCGGGACAGTTTTAGACTTGGACTTTTTTTATTTTTTTTAAATAGACTTGGACTTTAAGTTTAATAAGCAGATAAATTATGTTCTTCAAAAAAGCTTCTTTCAGCTAAGGCAGATAGCAAAGCTTAAGTCCGTCCTGTCCAGATCTGACCTTGAAACATTAGTCCATGCATTTATTACAACCAGGCTGGACTACTGTAACTTGACTGGACTACTGTAAGTCTGTGTTAGAAGCTCTTCAAAACTGGATGAGTAAGAGGAGTTGACATCTTAAACTTGCTATCAAACTACAAGATTTAAAAAATCATGTTACCAAGGTAAGAAAAGGCATTTTGTTGCCTCGGTGTAAAAGCAGTCGAGTACATCTACTAAGTAATTAAACTGGACTAGCAATTTGAAATTCTGCTGTTTAAAATTAAGAAAGGCAGAAAAAAAAAAAGGGTATGACCTAGGAACATCCAAGAAAAGGCATCGAAACAACAAGGTTATATTCCAGACACAAAAGCTGCAAGAAATAAGGACACTGCAAACAAGTGTGCAGCACGAGCTGCTAGTCTGCCACTCACAGACAAGATTAATCAATTAAAGACCCGCAGCTTTAAGCCTCTGGCTGCTCGTTTTGTCAGGTAAAGACGCTGGCTTTGCATCCAAATAAGATCTGAACCTGCTGATTAAATAGAAATGTGGGCAAAAAAACAAAGCAATTTGTTGGCATGCGGATTTTTTAGTCTATTCTTCCCAATTTAACCTGCCCTGCGACTGTGAATGACAGCTAAGAGATAATGAGAGCTAAATCTGGCCGCAGATTACTTTGGTGCACAAATTTAAAAAGCATTTATTTAGGAAGCAGAGCACCGAGGTCAGTCTAGCTGTGACTGCATAGGAAAGAAAAAAAGAGTTTAATGACGGGAAACAAAGAACAGAGCGCTTTTCCCAGCAGTAATGAAGTATTTATGCGGAATTGCACATTTTTAAAGAAGTGTTGACAGCTAAATGGCAACGCTAGGTCAAGTAAAGTAGGAATATCCAGTTATACTTTCGACTGAGCAGTGTTTTACACTGACATTTATTTTAATAAAATAAAATAGAGCGCGTACCAAATACAGTAACAGTTATTTTAGTGCGTCATGGCTAAAGTTAGATAAATCCAATCCGCAGCCTTTCCTCATGACGTATGTTGCGCCGGATTATGTGAAATATAAGCGACTCCACCGGCTCCTAACGCCTCCGAACGGGATTATCTGCCGCTGCTCTTCGTTAGAAAACTAAACAAGCATGTTATAAAGTGCTTACCAGAAGTATAAGGGTGAAAATTGACCAACCGATGACAGATTCTGACAGTAAGGTCTGCACCGCCATCTTTACTTCCTGTATCAACAAACCCATGTGATCGTGTGACGTCACCGCGTCCAGCTACGTTCTTACCAAAACAATCCAAGGATGGCGTCTCTAAATACTGGTCCAGATGACATGATTTGACCTTTTTTGTTATCTACCTGAATGATTGAGTTTACAAACCTTTTGTTTGTTTGTTTGTTTGTTTGTTTGTTTGTTTGTTTGTTTGTTTGTTTGTTTGTTTGTTTCTAAATACTGTTAAAATATTATACAACTACTCAACTGCTCCCCCTTTCTGCACATAGGACAATAAAATTAATCCTGCACCACAATAAACACGTTAATGTTTTTCACATTAAAATATTTCACACATGTTTGCAACTGACCTGTTTAGATCTTAATTGATGGTATTTTTTATATATTCTGTTTTTTGTTGTTGTTGTTGTTGTTGTTGTTGTTGTTTTTGTTGTTGTTGTTGTTTTTGTTGTTTTTGTTTTTATATATACACACATCAATCTTGTGTGATTCCTTGTGTACATTTATTTGTACTGAAACACTGGCACAACAATTTCCTGCAGGATCATTAAAGTTCTCTTATCTTAACACTTCAGAAGTCTCTTATTGCAAGTTGTTTTTTAACTGGAATAAAATGGATAAAATATCAAATGTACTAAATGAAAAGCTATGCAAGTTATGCAAGCTATGCAACTTTTTTAGATTTTTCTACCTGGATTATTGAACATGCATCAGGATATGCAATTATGGTACAGCATCTTGTTCAGAAAAACATCTTATTTGCACTTCTTAATTTAAAAGATCTAAAAAAGTTAGCCTTCATCAGGTAGCTCATGCGTTTACACAAATTTAAGCCATAGACCAACACGTAAACAGGGACGTCACCAAAAGAGGATCAGGAGAGGTGCAATTCCCTCTATAAATTTACTTACTAGCCCCATGTAGTCAGAAAGTTGGACAGTATTCACATATACTTTTATGAATTTGAATATAAGACAGGATAAGGCAAGCTTCAATGAGTTTGGTGTAGTGGCTGTGCTGTTGTCAAGTATAAAATAGAAAAGAAAAAAAAAACTTTACTACAGTGCAATATCTTACACATAGTATAATAAAGTTCATGAAGTTTTAATATGGCTTTTGCTTCTGGTGTGCCAAGTCAGTGAATACCATCTAGCTACTTATTTGAAAACATTCTGGAGGCATCCCTGCATGGATAACAGGCTAGATATTTGTAAATCATATATAAATGTTGGTGTTAACATACAAGTTCCAGACGTGTTTTTTTACTTTTTTGTTTATGTTTTAGTAAAATGTGTTACTGAAATAAACTGAAGAGAACACTCTGATTATTGAGGGGGGTGGGGGGGGGCACACACCTTTTTCAACAATTAAAAAAGAAAAAATCCAAGATCATATAATGTTCAACTGTGACTACATCCTCCTTTTCCAAGACTCTGAACATCTAAATGCTGCGTAGCTTGAACTACATGCCCAGAAGCTTTTCTCATACTCTGAACTAAAAAAAAAATAAAAAAATAAAAATCTAATTTAGAGCATTGTATATTCCAGGAAAATCTAATGAATGTGACCAAAAGAGACAAACATGTTGGCATTTAAAGTGAGTGTGGTAAACTTGAGAGAGATGTTTTCGTTGAATGTAAAATGAATGAATGTGATGTTATAAGGCGTGTATCCCACTCATTCTGTATATACTGTACATAGTGACTCAGTTATCTAGCATCGGTTCCGTTCAGGAGCCTCACCTTAACCTTAGAAAATGTAGTATGTATAATTTGCATATTTTGCATCTGACCATTATAGGTAAATTTATGTAAAGTACTTTGTGAGCTGACGGTAATTAGCAAATTTACTTTATAATGCACTGCAAGTGCAGGTTGGAGCTGCAAATCTCACTAAAGATATGTATTAAATAAGTTTTTTTTTTTTTTTTTTTTCAGAATATAGTACAATTAACTAAAGTAGTTTAAAGTTTTGGCATATTATTTTAAAGTTAAAAATTGTGTTGACTCCAATGCATCTGCTGTAGTGATAACATTAGTTACAGTAGTCATGCCTACGTTTTATCTCATGTTGAACAAAAGCCTTAAACCACAATGTTTGTTTCTTAAATCAGTTTCTCACTTAGAGCCCAGTAAAGTCCCGACCAAATGTTATTCTTTCTTACTCATAAGAAAAGAGCAAATCCTTTAAATTTTCCTTAACATAGCTGTAGCTCTAGGCCGAACTATGTTATTGTATCTTTTAATTCTTTAACTTTTTGTCCGTACTCTGAGTGCTCACCTGCACATGAAAGCCTACAGAGTCGGCAAACATACTGGTAAAAGGTTCTTTTGTGTTTTTTACGAGCACATCAAAAGGTGCACATCAATGATCATGTTGGCGTACAGATTAGTGACACAGAATATAAAGTCTTTGTCTGGGGCTTTGCCATATGTCAACATTGTAAATCTTGCTGAAAAAGAGACAGGTGTTTTGCCTCAAAACCTTTTCAATAATAGTGAACTTAGTGCTCCATGCATGCAAAAGCAAGCCACAGTTTATCATAATAATAGTGTTTGCTGAGGTTATACATGTGCACGTACAGTATATCCAGGTAAAATGCTGTTCTACCATCATGAAACGAATGCACACACAAAAAGGAGAGTGCTGCATTTGTAATGTTCTGATTTCAGTGAACTGAAACTCCATTAGGTTAAACAGAAGAAGGTTTGCCATCAACGCTCTTCTTTGCTTTATTGCATCAAACATTGATATTTTATTTGGAGCGTAGCTATGTTTATTCAAAGGGTGGACATTAAGAGCTTTTTGACTTTATCTTTTACTAGACACATTTCATGATGCTCAAATAAATAATTATGGACCAAAAAAAAATTCAAGAGCAACTTATGTTTAAAGCATTTGACACATAACGTGACATAATGATAGTTTTTATAATGATCGTCAGTTGCATGTAAAATGTAATGCTTCTTTATCGTTGCAATACAGCAGGGTGAGCATGCTGGGGGTGGGATGGGTAAATTTTCTGAGTCCAAAGTGTTTCACGGTGAGATCACCTCTCTGATATTGCCGATACGATGGCAGCCTTTGGAGTCGAACCAGTCCTGTAGAGCTGCTGCAGATTTGATCTCTCCACACTTCAGTGATTCCATGTTTATTTCATCTCAGACATGTTTATTTGGAAAACTGCAGAAGTATCAGCTGAAGAGCTTTGTAGCTCAGGCTTGTTCTTTCTCTGGGAAAATAAAAATGGCGGTAGATTTTTATTTTTTATTTTGTTAAATAAGTCAGAGGTTTGTTCAGTTCAAATCACTCACTACAATAAAATTACAACAGAAATTGCATTTTCTGTTAAAAACAGTGAGAATGTCGAGCACTGAAAGCCCAGTGAGATTTGTTGAAACTGAAATTGATTTGCAAAAGTTAAAATAATCAGAACACTAAAAACAGTAAAATGCTAGCTTGAAGCCATAAGTAGCGATGTGCTAACTAAAAAGGGTAGCCAAATGCTAGCTCAAAGTTCCAAAAGGGTAACTAAAAAGCTTAATGTAGCAAATGGCTAAAAGTGGCTAAAAGCACATTATTTGCATGAATGCTCCTGCAAGTACCTTGCAGATGTTGAACACTGTCTATGACGGTGCGGTAAGTTTCATAACTGGCTGCAACTACCGTACCCACTGCACCCTGTATTCACTTAACTGGTCATTAACTTCAAACAGACTCTCTCACCGATACATTTCATATTTAAATCAGTCCTTGGTCTGCTGCCTTTTTATAGCTCCTCCTCCTACATGTCACATTGTCATTGCAGTCACAGCGTGCGCTCTCAATACATCATTACCTGCAGTGTCTCCTCAGTGCAGACCGAATTTGGCAAAAGGGCCTTCTCTTACTTTGCTCCTGTAACCTGGAACACCTTGCAAAAAGATCTGAAGCTGCCGACTTTTACCTCTAAGGAATTTTAAACAACTGAGTTCAATGCAAAAATCAATTCAGACATTCCTGTTTTTAGTATTTTACCCTGTTTAAGATCACTACTTACATTTACTTTTCATTCTATATGCTTTTTATGACGTTCAGTGCTGTTTGTACCGCATCTGTTTGTTTTGGGTTTTTTGGGTTTTTTTATTTGAAAATGGGTCCTCATGACTCTGAGACTAACCTGTATAAATAAAGAGTGAATGAATGAAAAGTATCAAAGGTTAATAACTAAAAGCTGAAACTATCAAAAACCTATAAGTATGAAAGGGCTAGCTAGAAGCTAAAATTAGTTAGTAATTAAAAATGTTATTTAAAAGCTAAAAAGCAGCAGAATGATAGCTAAACAAAAGTATGCAGAATTATTTAGCTTACAAAACTGGAAAAAAAAAAAGCAGGAAAACAGTAGTATCAATACTGAAACAGCATTCATACTAATCAATCACTCTGGAAACTTCAAATGTTATGTTGTGCAGGCCTATATCATTCAAGATGAGGTGGAATACTTTAGCATAACCTGCATTACCAGTACTTATCAGTGGGTTCTTTGTCAAGAAAGCAATCCAAATACAATATACTATTACACATATTCAAGATTATAATTGAAATATTACAGTGAATGATTCCTAAAGGTCAGCCTGTATTATTAGTTTTGGCTTAACCTAATCATACACTGTATATTTATATGGGCATTTAGGCAGTAACATTTAAAAGATGAGTTTTTTTCTCCATGATGTTTAGTCTTTGAGTGTATAGAAACACCTTTAGCACGTTTTTTATTTTGCTTTGTTTATTTTTCGCACCTACTCAAATATCCATCAAACAATCTAATATGCACATTTAGAGCACAAACTGTGGAAATGTGCACAATAATCACAAGGATAAGAATCTTCTAAAAGGGCAATTTCTGCCACATGTCTTAGCTAAGTTTTGGGCTCTCTCAAAAGGATGCCAAGTATGTAGATGGAATATCTTGGGGACAAAAACAACATGACCATCTGCTGCTTGCCAAATCTCACCATGT